TACAGCTTTTCCGTGGCCCCGTGTCTTTTTTTGTTTTCATCACTGGGCTTTCTTACAGTGATTTGGGGATGTCTCCACGATTATTTCAGGCACCCCTTCCCCTCCCTGTTTGCCTTCACTGAGGGCCCACAGTAACTTTGCCACTGGGCTGCCCCCTGGAGCAGAACTTCTAAGTGTAGGCAGGGAAGGAATGCCCGAATTACAGCTCATCTCAACTCCTGCCTGCTGGGGGAGGGAGGCACCGTGGAGATAAAAGCGTGTTTAACCCTGAGGAGAAGGAAAATAAAAGCTCAGAACCTGCAGGTCTCCATTGGAATGTCTAGCTACTGAATTAGGAAGCTTGTTTTCTGGTTTTAGGTTACAGGGACACCTAGAAGTCTCCCAGACTGGATTAGTCAGCACGAGTCACTGTCTGGGAATTGTTTGGGTTTTCGAGAGGAGGATAAAACAATTTAGAAAGAAAATCTAATACACAGATTTAAAACACGGGCTGCTTTGAGAGCAGGGAAGGGGGGGCAGGTCTGCTCTGTGGGCTTCAGAAAATGCTGCTTCCTCAGGGAAGGAAGGCTGTCAAAAGAGAGAGGACCTGTTCCCTGCTGATAGAGAATTTCCTGGAGCATGTAAAAAGTGCCTCTGGCTGTTTTACTTTCAAATACCTCAAACACAGGAACATCTGTAGTTTTTCTGGGGAAGCTTAGATGGCAATCTTACAATCACCTTACACTTGACACATCCCCAGAGCAGAGAAGAGAGCCCTGTCCAGGGCAGCCTGCAGGTCCAACTGCTCAGGAGCTCCCTGACATCTGAGTGTGCCCCACAACACTGCCAGGTTTATTCCTGCAGGATGCTCAGTCCCATCTCCACTCAGGAGCAAGACCTCCAAGTCTGTGGAATCATGGAATGGTTTGGGGTTGGAAGGGACCCCAAAGATCAGCTCATTCCACCCCCTGCCATGGGCAGGGACACCTAAATTCTTAGAGGGGGAAGCAAGTCTTGCCTCTCTTCTGTTCTATTCCCTGCCCTAACACACACACGTGTCCCTGACACTTCTCCAGCTCCCTGCAGAGCAGGAGCACGGCGATGCCAGCCCAGCACATGTCACTCTGTGGGATGTATGATCCCAGCCAGTGTGTCCATCCCATGGGCATTACACTTTTGGGGCTGGAGGAGAGGAAGAACAGTTGTCCTGTTTTGGGAACTTTCTGCACGTGGCAAACATCTGTGTGCTCCTGAAATGATGTGCACTGGTGTCCTTTGGAAAATGCTGACACCAAAAGGATCTTGGCTGCCAGAGGCTGGAGCCTGCCAGCTAAGCTGGGAATCCTGGGCCTTCCAGGATCCTCACTTGGTGGGAAGCAGCGGTGACACGGTTGGGGTGAGTCAGCTTGTGGAACCACAGCTGATCAGAAGCATTTCCAAGCAGCCCCAGCTCTTGGAAAAATCAAGCTCTTCCTACACAGGGATTTTGGCTACTTTTCCGTGCTGTCCAGACTGTGGCTGGGATCCCACAGGCAGCCCTAAGGCATTAGAAGTGCAGATATTTCACCCTGTAGTTCTGCCTTTTCAAGTGTGACCCCCCCATTAGTTTGACCTGGTCAGTGGGATCCCTTTGTTCTGCCTAAGCTCCCTGGCTCTTTAGCCCCATCACTTGCTGTAAAATATTCGTGTCCTTTCTGCTTTCTGAAGTCCTCCACTCACCTTGATTCTCCTGCAGACACCATCAGGCATGTCCAGGAACTTTCCAAGAGTCCATTCACGACTGCAGAGTACTCAGAAAAAAGGGGGTGGAAGAGACAGAGACCTCTCCAGTCACTTCTGTGAGGAAGATTTTTGTGCCTCCTCGCAGCAAGATCTACGAGGATATTGAGATTTGCCTCCCACAAGAAGCTTCGTGGTTTCAGTGACACAGCTACCCACGAGGGAAGAGCCAGCTGGGGGAGAAGAGGGGCTTTAAATAAGTAAAATTAGGTTTCCCATCTGTCATCCTTCCCTGCAATAAGGTGGTTATTGCAACTAGGAAACAGAAAAACTTCTAGGAGAGGAAAAAAAACCAGCTCTGTTAAGAGAATGAGGTTTTTCATTGTCTGTTAAAGAGGTGCAAGAAGAGTCCCCAAATTGTGGTTTCTCCTCCCAGCACAGGAATTTGTAAATAAGTGGGGAAAACAAAGCAAAGCAAAACAAAACAAAATGTCCTGAATGTTTGGGGTTTTTTCTATCCCTGCTAAAACAAACTTTTTAGAGGGTTAAACCATCCCAGAAATTGGGCTCTCCTCTGTGATACTAAAGGAGGCAAATGCTGCCAGGAGTGGAATAACCTCATTTTCTCAGGGGCACTGCTCAAATCTCTCAGAATCCAACTCCTCAAGTGTCTCTTTTCTCATTCATGCCAGTGCTCACACACAGCGGGGATGGAGCTTTATGGCTTTTGTTTGCTGAGTGAGGCATCTCAGCACAGAATGTACCTGGCTAAGGATTCACCCCGGCAGCAGAACCCCCTCCTTCCTGTGCCTGGGTGTCCCCACCTGCACGCAGGTTGATCTTTGAGAAGCCCTTTGAGCTCCGAGCTGATGAAAAGGTTCACGGAGAGGAGGTTGTTGTCATTGTTGTCTGCAGTTTAAAAACATGCCCATAAATCAGCTTTCAGGGGATGGGGAAGCAGGTTCCATTGGCTCCGGAGCTGGGTGAGTGAACAGAGAAGAATTTCCTTCTTTGGCATTTTCCCCTAGTTTTAATAACTTTGAACCCTTGCTTTAGATCTTGTTTACATTAAGGCTGGTTTAGTAACTGTGTGTCTCCCTCCAGCAATTGTCTCCTTCTTCCCCACCTTCCTCAGGTATTTGGTTTAGGTACCAAACATCTGACTCAGGTCTTCCTGGAGAATGGCTGAGCAGGGGTGGATGGAAGAAGAAATTATTTTACCCTGTTGGAAAGCACAGGGACTTAATGGGGGAAAGAGGTGGAGGCCGTGACTGCCATGGACACGGGCCCTGGGAACATAAAAATCTAGGCTGTTACCACACCCGCTTGAAATGTTAAACACAAACTGTACAGATGGGCTGTGCTAAGTGTTGGGGGCAGAGGATGGCAATGGGTCCCTCTAGGGCGTACAAGCTCAGAGGGTGCAAAGCTCAGCCCTGCTCTCTGCTGGGGTGGCCTCACCTCGAGTCCTGGGGGAGTTTTGGGCACCACAATATAAGAAGGATGTCAAGCTGTTGGAGAGTGTCCAAAGGAGGGACATGAAGATGGAGGAAGGGCCTGGAGGGGCCATATGAGGAGTGGCTGAGGGCACTTGGCTGGTCCAGCCTGGAGGGGACTGAGGGGAGATTCATCAGGGGCTGCAGCTCCTCCCGAGGGGCAGCTCCCACCTCTGCTGGCTGGGACAGGGACAGCACCCAGGGAAGGGCTGGAGCTGTGCCAGGGCAGGCTCAGCTTGGAGCTCAGCACAAGGTTCTTCCCCCAGAGGGTGGTTGGCACTGCCCAGGCTCCCCAGGGCAGTGGGCACGGCCCCAAGGCTGCCAGAGCTCCAGGAGCGTTTGGGCAACGCTCTGAGGGACAGGGGGGAGTGTTGGGGTGTCCTGGGCAGGGCCAGGGGTGGCACTGGGTGATCCTTGGGGGTCCCTTCCAACTCGGGGTATTCTCTGATTCTATGATTTAATCTGCAAAGAGTGACTCAGCGTGATTTCCAGGTCCTGGCCCGGGAAATACCTCTCCATTCCCGCGGGGCAGGCGGGGGGAGCATCCCCTCATGCCGAGCGGGGAGCACATCCCCTCTCGGCCGGGCAGGGGCCGCGGGGGGACACCGAGCGCGGTGACAGCAGCGCCCGCAGCAGCAGCAGCAGGACGGCCGGGAAGGGCTCCCCGGGGCACGGCGGCTCCTGGCTCGCCGGATTGCCCGGCAGATGGAGCTCGGCTCCCGGCGATGACGCCTCAGACCGCCCTCGATGATCCGCCACCGACCGGCGACGCTTAACCCAGCGTCTGACCACTCTTGCAGGGAAGAACTGTTCTCATCTCCAATCCGAACCTCGGCTGGGGCGATTTCAGGGCGTTTCCTCTCCTCCTTTCCCTTGGGATGTGGCAGCAGAGCCCGACCCCTCCTCCCTGCCCCCTCCTGTCAGGGAGTTGCAGAGAGCAATGAGGTCCCCCCTGAGCCTCCTCTGCTCCAGATAAACCCCCCAGCTGGTGGGATTCCCCCAGACCTGGCAGCCGCTCCCCTCCCTGACACTGCCCTCTCTCTCTGCACATTCTGGGTGGTCAGTGGGGCTGGAAGGCACCAGGGGTCGGGGTTTGGGATTCATTATCAGGCTGCCCTTTCAAAGGGTTAACACCCCCCAGGCAGCCTCACGGCCCATCAGAGCTACAAGAAACCGGTATTAAATACAAGTAATTATCATAATAATCACCGAAGGTTGCGGGTTGGGAGGGACTTCAAAGATCATTTAGTCCAAACTTGCCCTGCCCTGGACACAGACACCTTCCACTAGCCCAGCACGGAGTAGGGGCAGTGAAATCCAAGGCAGGAAAGGCTCAGGGACTGAGCTGAGAGGAGGGGGATTGTTTTAAAGCTTCTGACAGTGGCAGATCTCTAAACCCGAGGGAAGAAAATATTCTTGCCTTTGTTTTCCTGTAAGAGGCTTTTCCAATTAACTGAGCCCTCACCCTGCAGGAAGGTGTTGTGTGTCTGGGCTTGGGCCCATTCCCAGAGAATCCTGACCTTTCCAGGCCTACAGGCCAGCTGCAAACACACCAGTCAATCAGGCAAGAAGGCAAACCCAAAAATCCTTATGGGGAATAAATTTCAACAAGTCTGGATCAAAACTGTCAGGAGCCATCTAGATGAGAAATAACTCAGAGCTACTTCCCCTTGCCACAGCAGAGACCTGGAAGCTTGGAAAATGTTGGAAGTTGACTGTGAATTGCCAACCCTGGGATTTGGGCCTTTTTTTTCAATCAGTAGAATCCAAGCCTACCCAAAAAATCGTAAGAAGGTACCAGATGTGTTTGTTCTATTTACACTTTATTTACATTTTATTTGTATTTTATTTACAATTATTTACATTGTATTTGCACGTTGCTTACAATTATTTACATTTGATCTGCACGTCACATTTATTTACATTTGATCTGCACGTCACATTTATTTACATTTGATTTGCACGTCACATTTATTTACATTTGATCTGCACGTCACATTTATTTACATTTGATCTGCACGTCACATTTATTTACATTTGATTTGCACATTATTTACATGTCATTTACATATTTATATTTTATTTACATTTTATCCTCTGCGTTTTTGCTTCCACTGAAAGACTAAATGAGTTGCCACTGCACTGGGAAGGAGGAAAAGCTGTTCCAGCAGGGAGGTGATGTCGGCTACAGCATCTGGGACAAACCCTTGCACCCGGTGAGCGCTGGGGGCTCCTCTGGGCAAGAGTTTTCCAACTGGGAAGAACACAGTGAGGAAGAGCAGTCCCCAGAGAGTAGCAGTGGCTACCCAGAACTGACCGAGTCGGAAGAATCCAGCATGGAAGGGCAGTCCCAAAGGAAATCCAGTGCCTACCAAGAACTCCTGTCCGACTGGGAAGACTCCATTGCCCAAGAGCTGTCTGAAGATGAAGACTCCTTTGGCCAGGAGTTTTCCGACTGGGGAGACTCCATCCCCTCCATGGTGTCCCGCTGGGAAGACGACAGCGACAGGGAGCTGGCACTGCTGGACTGGGAACACCTGGCACAGGAGGGGGCTTGGGGCTCTGCAGGGGAAGCTCAGCCCCGGTGCCTGGAGCCCCTCCTGCCCCTCCTTCTGCCCTGCCCTGCGCTCTGCAGGGCTCTTCCTCTGCCCTGCTCTCACTCCTCCCTTCTCAGAGCGCAATTCCCTCTTTGCCAGAGCTTTCTTTTCCCTTCTCCACTCCCTTCTCCCGCAGGCGTCACTGCCAGCTCTGGTGGGCTCAGCCTTGGTGTGTCCTGGACCCGGCTGGCACTGCCCTGTTGGGGTGAGCACGGGGGAAGCTTCCAGCAGCTGCTCCCAGATCCCACCCTGCAGCCTTGCAAACCCAAAACAGAGTCCACAGGGAGTGGAGATCCACCTGCAGCCCCTGGAGGACCCCCTGGATCAGGGGGATGGCCAAAGGAGGCTGTGACTCCATGGGAAGCCCACCCGGAGCAGGGTCCTGGCAGGGAGGTGCGGTCCATGGAGAGAGAAGCCCAGGCTGGAGCAGGGAAAGGACTCTTCTCCCTGAGCAGTGACAGAAACAGTGTGTGATGAACTGACCATTCCCCATTTTCCCCACCTTATACAGCACTAATTTCTGTATTATTTATTGATTTATGCACTGTGCCTTTTGAACCCCAGCTACAACAGACTAGGGCAATAAAACTAGTTTTCTATCCCAAACAGACTAAAAACCTCATTTGTTTGGGATTAAAAAAACCCTAGTTTTTTACTCTGTTTGGGATAAGAGACTAAACTCTACGTGCTTGGTCTCCCCTCTCACAAAACTGGTCCCAATATCTCCACAAATGATTTTTGCCCTGGTGCAGCTGTGTGGTGACTTTGATACACCCACCCACAGCAATTTGGGCTGGTTTCCCAATGGATTGGGAATTCCGCTGACGTTATTTAGCAGCAATTTATTAATTCTTTGTTCATCCTGATTTAAATAAATACAGTACTACCGCTACAAAGTACGCCTAAAATAAATAAAGAAAAATAATAATGGTGAAATATTATAAATATTATTAAAATTGTAATTGTTATTCTATTTATGTCTTTAGTTTCACAGAAATTATAATAATTAAAATATTGCTTTGTATTTCTTAAAATCTAGGCCACTGTTGTAATGCAGTTTCCCAGGAAATTACACAGAAAATAAAGACAGAACACTGTTCAAATTACTTAAGAATTTGTGACATGGGCAAACAAGAATGATTGGTCCTTCAGAGATTTTTGCAGCCACAGGACCTGTAAAGGCTCCTTTTAGCCATTTTCACATTCATTTTGTCCACAAAAAAATCAATCAAGTGTCCCCCCACTGGGGAGGTGTGAGCAGCCAAGAAAGCTGAGCCTGAAGTTTATGAAAATGAGAATTTCCATGCCAAAAGGGTTATTTAATTTCATCCTCTCTTGTGGACTGTAAGGCCAGATGCAAAAAGAAAAAAAAAAAAAAAAAGGGAAAAAAAAGGGGAAGAAAAAAAAAAGCCCTGGGTACCTGTAGGACAGTTTGTTCTCTTTGAGAGCTCATTTTTCTGTCCTGTTCAGTTAGTTTGAACTTCAATTTCAGGACCTAGAACAACATTAGACACTGCCTGATAGCACTCTTTTTAAATTTCAAGGGCTGGTTTTCAGGAATTCTCTCTTTCTTATATGCCTGATGAAGCCACTCCTCTTTCTGTAAATTAATAAAAGAGTGGAGGAGAGCTATCACTTTGAAGAACATCCATATCTCCACCAAAGAGAAAACCAAGAAACAGGAGCATTACAGTAAACACATTAATCAAACTGAGCGACTCCAACCTCTGTCCATGAACTACAGCAGCAGCGAGGTCAGGCAGGAGTCACCAGCAAGTCAATCTAAGACGTTTTCTTGAATATTGACATTTTAGTATGTTAGTTTATAGAGAGATGGGCAACCAGTTAAGCAGTTGCAGCTTTCTTTGTGCCCTGCGAGCAACTAAAATCTTCCCAGCACTGTTTCATACCTTGGTTAGGGCGAGGATGTCGGCTCCTGCAGCGGGCTCTGCTCTCCCGGGGGGCTTCTCTTCACAGGCAGGCTCTAAAAACTCAACGAAAGAGCAGCGTGAGGCCCAAAGGAGCGCAGGAAGCACCGGGCATTAAAAACCGCCCTGCCTGAGGGTGATGGCACCGAGGGCCAGGGCTGGTGGCGAGGGCGCCGAGTCCCCTCCCCGCCTCTCCCCTCCCCTCTCCTGTGCCGGGGCTCGGTCCCACCTGCCAGAAGGGCGCTGCCGATGGATCCCCGCCCGCCGGGGCCGGGGGCTGAGGCGCCGCCGCCCGCTGAGCCGCGTGGTTCGGGCTGGGGAAGGGGTTGTTCAGGGTGGAGGAGGGGTTGTTCGGGCTGGAGAAGGGGTTGTTCAGGGTGGAGGAGGGGTTGTTCGGGCTGGAGAAGGGGTTGTTCAGGGTGGAGGAGGGGTTGTTCGGGCTGGAGAAGGGGTTGTTCGGGCTGGAGAAGGGGTTGTTCGGGCTGCAGAAGGGGTTGCGGCGGGCGGGCGCGGAGCGGCCCCGCGGGGCCGGGGCGGCAGAGGCGGCGGGGGTGGAGGGTTCGCTCCTCCGCGGGCGTTTGCGCTTCAGCCGCAGCATCGCCGGCGGCCTCTGGAAGCCGGGCGGGTCGGCGGGCTCGGCGGGGGCGGCCGTGGCCGAGCGGACCCCGCAGCAGCCGCGGGCCCGTCTCGGCTCCAAAGGCCGCCCGCTCCGCCCCTGGGCGGTGCTGAGGGAGCGGCGCCGCCATTGCTGCGCCCTCAGGGCCTGAGGGGACAGCGGCTCCCGCCAGCCCCGCTGCGGTCCCGGCACACACAGAGAAAGGGGCCACAACTGCTGCTCAGCGACACAAAGGGACTTCCCAACCCCTTCGCAAACCAGCCCCGAGCGCGGGAGGCGGCTCTGTCAAAGTCACCACGCGGCTGCACCAGCGCCAAAAGCACCTGTGGAGACGCTGCCACCTGGTTCCAGCTGTGCCCCGTGTGAGACCCAACACACAGGGTTTAGTCTTCTATCTCAAACAGACCAAAAGCCTCCGTGTTTTATCCCTAGGTTTTTAGTCTATTTGGGAGAAAAGACCAGTTTTTATTATAGCACTGGCCGGTTGTACATGGGGTTCAAAATGCACAATAAAGAAATAATAAATAAACCAGGGCTAAATTGGGAAAGGGGAATGGGTTTCATAGTTACTTCATCAGACATCTGATGTTCAGAGCGAAGAGTCCTTTCCCTGCTCCAGCGTGGGGTTCCTCTCACGGGACACAGCTCTCCATGAACTTCTCCTGCTCGAGTCCTTCCACAGGATCAGTCCTTAAGGCATCCATTCAGCGTGGGTCCCTTCCATGGGGTCAGTCCTTCAGGAACTGCTCCCCTGTGTATCCCCCGTGGGGTCCCCAGTCCTGCCACCAAACCTGCTCCAGCGTGGGCTCCTCTCTGCACGGATCCACAGGTCCTGCCAGGCCCCTGCTGCAGGCTGGGCTTCCCCAGGCTCACGGCCTCCTTTGGACATCCCCCTGCTCCAGGGGGCTCCTCCGGGGGCTGCTTGATCGACATATCTACTGGCAAAAGATTTAATAAAAGCTATACTGTAAGAAAAAAAAACACTTTTTTGCAGTTTTGTCAGTGGTTCTTCATGTTTTAAACTTCTTTTCTTTTTTCCTTTGGGTTATTTTGCAAACATTTAATCTCAAATCAGCAACAGCAGGAGAAAAGCAACAGTTGGGTTCAAAGAATCAGTGTGGTACTGCGGGTTCACACGCTTCAGACGTGTGTACACACGTGTGTAAAAGCATCTCTTCTTTTTCGGGCTGCATTACATCACACAGGCAGTGAAATCAGATTTCCTCCTGTTTTCATGCACTCCCTGTGCATCCTTTATCAGGAATCTGCTCCAAGTCCCGTGAGTGACAGAAGGCAGATTAATTGGGGTTCCAGATGATTTCTTTGCACTTCTTTCCAGCTTCTTACACTGGAAGTGCCAGTGTCTGCTGTTTGAGCCATCCATGGGGAGAGACTTTTCACAAGCGCCTGGAGTGACAGGACAAGGGGAAATGGCTTCAAAGTGATGAAAAACAGGGTTAGATGGGATATTGGGAAGAAAGTTTTCCCTGGGAGGGTGGGCAGGCCCTGGCACAGGTTGTCCAGAGAAGCTGTGGCTGCCCTGGATCCCTGGAAGTGTCCAAGGCCAGGTTGGATGGGGCTTGGAGAACCTGGGATCATGGAAGGTGTCCCTGCCCATATGTTCTGATCCCATTAGGGAGAGATGCCTCTGCCCAACTTAAGGTGTAAATGAGACCATTTGCTGACAAAACTTGGATTTTATTGAATGCAGACTTTATTGAACTATAAATGTGAACTAAAGAGCTAGAGAGAGATACTGGATACTGAGGGGGAACTATAGGAATCTTCCTAACCCTATGTCTTGTCTTCTCTAATTCTCCTAGTGCAACTGCAAGAACCTATCTATCTGTCCTATAAATATGATACTTATGTTAATATGTAAATACAGTCTTATCTACCTTAGCCAAGTCTATCTTCATAGTCTATCAGAAACAGTCTTCCTAAATATTATAAAAACCTATTGTAATAATTATTAACTGAATTCCTTACTTAAAGAGCTTAATTAAGTAAAAGAGTGAATGTCCTACAGCCGTGTTGTGTTTGTTTTGGAATAGTCGTGGCTGTGGCAGTCCTGCAGGGAGGTTGTGGGAGCAGCAGATCCTGTCTTTGCTCGTTCCCTGCAGGACTCGTCAAGATTGGCAGTAAATGTCACAGGTCGGTGGTGGAGTCGCTGTCTGTGGAAGGATTGCAGAGGTGTGTGGGCCCGGCCCGGCGCTGGAGCGGGGCCTAATCCTCAGGCTGTCCCCTTGTGCAGGAGTGGAAGAGCCGGCGCAGAGCCCCGAGCGCCCGCCTGAAACGACAGGGACGTTTGCTGGGGCCCTGGGTCTGTGCCCCCGCCTCTGCCACCTGCTTGTCCGAGGCAGGAGGAGTTGCAGCCCCTCGGGGGGCCTGGGCCTCCAGCTGGGCAGGGGAGGGGCTGGGGGGGCAGCAGGGGCTCTCTGGGGCAGGGCCCTGGCTCCGTGTCCCTGCCTGTGCCACCTGCTTGTCCAAGGCGGGAGGAGCTGCAGCCCCTCGGGGGGCCTGGGCCTCCAGCTGGGCAGGGCAGGCACAGACCGGCCCCGCTGGGCACGGGGCAGGCGCCCGGCGCTCAGCCCACGCCTCGCGAGGGACGGGCACCGGGAGCCCCTCTGCCGCAAGGATTGCCAGCCTGTGTTCCGTGCCTTCTCCCTGCGACAGCTCCAGGACGCTCAGTTCTTCCCACTCGTCCTCCTCCGGCCGCAAGGGCTTGACCTCCAAGCTGTGGACGGTCGTGTGTTCCCAGTCCAGCAGTGCCAGCTCCCTGTCGCTGTCGTCTTCCCAGCGGGACACCATGGAGGGGATGTAGTCTCCCCAGTCGGAAAACTCCTGGCCAAAGGAGTCTTCGTCTTCAGACAGCTCTTGGGCAATGGAGTCTTCCCAGTCGGACAGGAGTTCTTGGTAGGCACTGAATTTCCTTTGGAACTGCCCTTCCCTGCTGGATTCTTCCGACTCGGTCAGTTCTGGGTAGCCACTGCTACTCCCTGGGGACTGCTCTTCCTCGCTGGATTCTTCCCGCTTGGATGGTCCTTGGGAGATCTTCCCTTCTCCATGGGACAGCTCTTCCGTGCTGTCAGACAGCTCTTCCCAGTCAGCCAGTTCTTCGTACTTCTTCTCTTCTTGCCACTGCTCTTGCTTCAGGTTTTCTTCCCAGTCGGACACTTCCTGGTAGCTCTTTAGTTCTGCTGGGGACTGCTCTTCCTCAAAGAATTCTTCCCAGTCGGACACTTCTTGGCATCTCTTGGATTCTCCCTGGGACTGTGCTTGCTTGAGGTTTTCTTCCCAGTCCGACACTTCCTGGTAGCTCTTCACTTCTGCTGGGGACTGCTCTTCCTCCGTGTAGTCTTCCCAGTCGGACACTTCTTGGAAGCTTCTCACCTGTCCTTGCCGCTGCTCTTGCTCCAGGTTTTCTTCCCAGTCCGACACTTCCTGGTAGCTCTTGGCTCCTCCGTGGGACAGCTCTTCCTCACTGGAGTCTTCCCAGTCGGATACATCTTGGCATCTCTTGGATTCTCCCTGGGACTGCTCTTGCTCCAGGTTTTCTTCCCAGTCGGACACCTCTTGGTAGCTCTTCGCTCCTTCGTGGGGCAGTTTCTCCTCGCTGTGTTCTTCCCAGTCGGACACTTCTGGGCAGCTTCTCTTTTCTTGCTTGAGGTTTTCTTCCCAGTCAGACACTTCCTGGTAGCTCTTCCCTTCTCCTTGGGGCTCCTCTTCCTCGCTGTATCCGTCCCAGTCGGACAGTTCCTGGTAGCTCTTGCCTGCTCCAGGGGACAGCTCCTGCTCCCTGCGCTCTTCCCCTTGGGACACTTCTTGGGAGGTTTTCGTTTCTTCTGGGGACAGCTCTTGGTCTGCCTCATCCTCCCACTGGAAAATCTCTTGGTCAACGTGGTATTTCCAGTCTTGGCCCTCTATGGCCCCCTCCTCGGTGTCTTGCCCTGACAGGAATGACCCCCTCTCTGCCTCCTCCTGCTGCTCCCTGACAGCCTGGTCTTCCAGGCTGGGAGCTGAGGAGCTGGGGGGCTGCAGGGGCTCTGTGGGGCAGGGACTGGGCTCTCTTCCCCATCTGCTGTAATTGCTGTTCCTGTTTCTGTGTCTGTGCTTTGTTCCAGGTCTCCCTGTTCCTCCCGCTCGCGGCCGGATCCCTGGATCTTCAGCTTAGCCTTGCTGAGGAATTCACTGCTGCTGGACTGGTCTGTGTCCAGCAGGGCCTGGCTGCCCTCTGAGGGGCTCTGTGGGGCAGGGACCGGGCTCTGTGTCCCTGCTGATGGCACCAGCTCCCCTGGGGCTGCAGAACCTTCTGCCTTGGGCTCCTCAGGAACGAGAGGCCCCTGGGGCTCCTCCTCCTCAGCAGCTCCAGCTGGGGCAGCAGCTGCCGGCTCGGCCTCCGTGGGACTCAGCGGGGCAGGAGCTGGGCTGGGCAGCTCACGGGCTGCCTCTGCTGCCACCTGTGTGCCCACGCTGCTGGGAGAGCTGGGCCCCTCCTGGGCAAGAGGCTGGGGGTCCTCCTGCTTCCCTGGGCCCAGGGCCTCATCAGAGAGATTGGAGGAGATGTCCTCTTCCCACTGGGACAGCTCTGGCTCTTTGACCTCTTCCCCTTGCTCAGTGAATGATTTCCACTCTTTCTCCTCCCCTGACAAGGTTCCCTCCTCAGTCTCTTGCAGTGACAGCAGTGACAGCAGTGACAGCAGTGACCTCCCCTCTGTGTCCTCCTGCTGCTCACTGGCCACCAGGACTTCCAGGCTGGAAGCCAAGGGGCTGGCAGTGGAGCAGGGGCTGTGTGGGGCAGACACCAGGCTCTCTCTGCTTTCTTCTGCTGGAACTGTTTCCAAGTCTGCAGCTGTGCTTTGTTCCAGGTCTCCCTGTTCCTCCAGCTCCTGGTTGGATCTCTGGATCTCAAGCTCAGCCTTTCTCAGGATCTCAGTAGTGATGAGCTCGGCCATGTCCACCACAGCCTGGCTGCCCTCTGAGGGGCTCTGTGGGGCAGGGAGTGGGCTCTCAGTCCCTCCTGCTGTTTCTTGCATTTCTGCAGCTGTGCTTTCTTCTTGGTCTCCCTGTTCCATCACCTGCTGCTCAGGTGCCTGGATCACAGGCTCAGTCTCACTGAGGATCTCAGTGGTGATGATCTCAGGTATGTCCAGCACGGCCTGGCTCCCCTCTGAGGGGCTCTGTGGGGCAGGGACTGGGCTCTCTGTCCCTCCTGCTGTTTCTTGCATTTCTGTGGCTGTGCTTTCTTCTTGGTCTCCCTGTTCCATCACCTGCTGCTCAGATCCCTGGATCTCAAGCTCAGCCTTCCTCAGGATCTCATTTGTGATGAGCTCGGCCATGTCCAGCAGGGCCTGGCTGCTCTCTGAGGGGCTCTGTGGGGAAGGGACTGGGCTCTCTGTACCCGCTGCTGTTTCTTGCATTTCTGCATCTGGGCTTTGTTCCTGGTCTCCCTGTTCCATCAGCTGCTGCTCAGATCCCTGAATCTCAAGCTCAGTCTCACTCAGGGTCTCAGTGGTGATTAATTCAGTCATGTCCAGGAATTCGGGCATGTCCATGGCCTGGCTTCCCTCTGAGGGGCTCTGTGGAGCAGGGACTGGGCTCTCAGTCCCTCCTGCTGTGCCTTGCATTTCTGCAGCTGTGCTTTCTTCTTGGTCTCCCTGTTCCATCAGCTGCTGCTCAGATCCCTGGATCACAGGCTCAGTCCCGCTCAGGATCTCAGCTAGTGATGTCCTGCTCTGTGTCCAGTATGGTCTGACTCCCCTCTGAGGGGCTGTGTGGGGAAGGGACCGGACTCTCTGTCCCTCCTGCATTTTCTTGCACTTCTGCATCTGTGCTTTGTTCCTGGTCTCCTTGTTCCTCGAACTTCTGCTCAGATCCCTGGATCTCAAGCTCTGTTTCGGTCA